AACCTGGCCTGGAGCTAGAGATGTAGGAATTGCCAGCATCCAGACATGGGAAGTCTGAGAAGTGGATGCTATTACCCAGGGAGTGTACAGAGATGAACAGAAACCTAGGCCCTCTACCAGCTATAGAAAAACACAGCAGGCTGATGAGACTGGCTGGATAAGAAGAAAGAAAACACTAATATAACATTATAAAAGTCAGAATAAGAATGTTTTGAGATGTAAACATGTCTACTGTACTCAGAAAATGGAACTTAACAGAACTACAGCAAAAGCTAGACTTCGGACTCCATCAAATACAACTTTAAAAAACATTATATATGCTACAAAGTTAGAGGAGAAATAGTCAGTGTTACAACTATCTTCAAAAAATTCAGAAACAGTGAAAACTACTGACCTGAGCAAGTTTTAAATTAGATGTAAATTTCCTGTCACAGCAGCAATAAACTTCTAGGACAGGTGATTCAGGGTCATTAATATAAAAACCCTCCTTAATAATTCTATTAGAATATTAAAACATACATGGCTGGCTTACCATGGTCATGCAAGTTCTTTTCTGAATGCCTTAAGGGGTGTGCAATCTGTCTAACCACAGCACATACACTGGGGCGTCAGAGCATTCCCACAGTAGCTTCTGAGTCAATAATGATTTGTCCTGGGCAAAAGGCTTTTTTTCTTAGAGAGTTAAAATATATTTTCACATGTGAACATTTTATTATATTACATTATGAAGACATGGTCAAAACACATCATTACCAACAGTTGAACTTCTGTAAATGCAAATATAAAATGACATCTGAAACATTATGGAAACATTAGTCGGCCAGGGACAATTACTGTTGACTCTATCGTTTCCCACCACATATCTCTTTTGTTTCTTTCTACCACTATTTCCTTTGTTTTTTTTTTTCTACCTAATTTTAGTAACCACCATTTAAAAAGCTTAGTGTCTCATTTGCTTTCTTGCCCTTTACAAGTCCATGAAGCCATACTTCTTACAGAATACCACTTGGTCCCTGTCTTTAATATCGCATGAATTCATGTTTGTCCTTTGTTTAGTGCAGTACTACTAAACAATAAACATGATACGAGGGCTACACATCCACATTCTAGAAATCTTAAAAGAGAGTCTACTTTACATTCAACAAAAAATTTAATACAGGTGACACAGGAACACATTAAAATAGAAAAGATACCAATAGCTAGGGTAAAAATAAAAGGATCAACAAATAGGATTTACAAAAGGAGTAAGAAAGTCAATGTAGGAAAACTATAGATATATAGAAGAAGAAAAAATGTAATGGTAATTTTATGCAGTTAGAATGCTATAGGCAGGTTATTTTGGCATCAAAGTATATTCTCTTTTATAAACATTATATGGACACTGAGAACTGTAAGACAGGTGCTTGCTCTAACAGGTAATGGTAAAAACATGAAATGACAGGTCTTAATACCAAGTAGCCTTGAAATTTATAGTTCTAATTCTTTTAATACGAGAAGATGGTTAATGAGAATCATTAGGAAGTTTTTAACATGAAAAGCACATCTGGCTCACAATACATCCTATTGATCAGTACACATATAGTGTGCTTGAAGTTCAAAGAGTTTGCTGTTAGAAAACAAGCAATAAATCACCAGGCCAAACGAGGAAGCACAGAAATACAACTTCCTGAATAGGGCATATTTTAGTATAACTGATAAACAGAACCTTAAACCCCCATTTTCTTTCATGTAATTCCTGCCAATAAAAAGGACTATTGAGAAGAGAGAACACAGTTTTCTCTCTCAATATCCTCAACTCTTTTGCAAGCTGTGTGAGCTGAACTTTCGAAACAGACAATACATTCTAGTGGTTAAAACCATGTTCTCTATCCATAGACTGAGTGCCAAGGCTTGAGTGCCTGCTCTGGCACTTAAGAGCTGTGAGACTTTGGGTAACCTTTCGCCTAACCTTTTTGTGTTTTGGGTTATTTGGTTGTGAAGTAGGAGTAAGGCTATTTGAGGATAAAATGAGTTAACAGTGCTAACTAAGCACTAACACCCGATCTGGCACAAATATCACTCACTAGGTGTTACCTATCACCTCTGTAGTTGCTGTTCTTAAAAAATACCTTACATTGTTCCACCACATTTTATAGAAATCTAATATCAGAACCCCTATTATTTCCAATTTTCCTTCTCCATTCATTTTTCCCATAAGCACCTATCACTAACACATGGCATATTTCACTTAGTTGTCTGGTGAATTTGTCTCCCCCATGTAAAAATAAGCCAGAGATTGTTTTATTCAGAGATGCCTGTCCAGAGCCTAGAAAAGTGCCTGCCACATAGAAGATAATCTGATGAATACAATATCCTTGTGATTTTAAGATGTATGTACTCTTTCATTATATTAACACCTCTGAAGTTGGGGTGTAATTTAATTATATTGAATTACTTACAATTAAAACTGTCGGCACTAATTCTTTCTTTAGGGGGTATATAAAATATATTACAACAACCTAGGTCTGATGAAAGACTGTATGTGTCAATGAATGAATGAACTGAGAGGGCAAACTTCACTTTTACTTAATCAAAATTCATGCGATTTGAAGAATCATTTTAATCTCACCTTCCATGACTATAAGCAGGTTATACTAACAAAAGAGTCCTTGTTTAGATTATTTTCTTAGGCATATGAACTCCTAGTTGATTATTCCTAACAATGACTCATTCAGTAAAACATTCATTAGCTTTTTGAGTAAACTATTTCTAAATTAAACTAAAACTATTCCTTTGGAAATAATATTCTTATAAAGGCTGCTGTTTTTATTTATTCTTACAAGAACTGTAAACACAAATACAATGTTTAAAATTGCCTTTTTACATTCTTTAAAAGAATTATTTCAAAATGACAAACTGTTTATATGTAAACACTGAAAAGTCTGTACAAATTTTAACAAAAATTAAATACACAATATTAGAAAAATGAGCAAGAATCTTCTAGGGATAAAATATGGAAAAATACTGCATGCATTTATTTAATAGCACAAAGCAGCAACAATATACACAATTTTGAGTATTAAGTGAATACTTCTAGCAATTATTTACAGCTTTTATCATGTCTTGAAAGGGGTACATAACCATCCTGTCCCCAAATGTTAGAAACCACTATACTAGACTCAAATTTTCAGTTCAACTTCATTAAGTAAATCAAATTTAATGTAAGGAGTACTGCCCAATTAACAGAACAAAAGAAACCACAGTGTAAACTAATGAGAAATCATGTCTATTAAAAATGAGAACACACTATGGAGGGGTATTTAGTTTTTAGAAGAATTCTGATTAATAGCAGAGGAATACAAAGACATGGTTGGGTAAGTGCTGTTAAGGGCAGATCTGGAACTGAAGTTCAATATCTCTTTTTATGACCTAACTCTGTTACACTGAGAGCTTTTTAAGGTTAGTTTTTCCTATCAATTAGATCATCATGAAACATTCAAGAATGAGATTTTAGGTTAAATGCAGTAAGTACGCATGGTTGAATAAATAAGTCTACCAGCTGAGAACAACATATTAATGTATAAATCTCTAATATAAAATTAGCTAATATTTCAATGTGGGTTTACCTACCAAAAAAGCTCTGAATTTTGTCAAATTACTATCTGTTAAAGTTCATGGGTCAGCTCCTGATTCCCTGAGTTTACACCAACAACAGGGATCCCAGCTACCTTAAAATGGTACAGCATGTATGGTATTAACTAAGTCCATGTTTCTAGTGGTTCTGATTTGAGGAAAAGATCCAGAAATCTGGAAGACCTAACAGGTCTTAAAAAGAAAAACACACTGCAAGTGAGCTGAGGAAGAAGCCCTTTTAGATAAGGTGTGAATACTGCCACTGGCTTCTCAAGATTATGATGCCACCTCAAAAAAATTAAAGTAACTACCTACCATGAAAACAATCACAACACATGCACAGAATTATATAAAGGTTTTAAAGAATTGTTTGGTGTGATTTAAAATTCTTCAACAGTTTTTAAAATAACTTTTTGTTATTACTTGGTATTATATTTTAAAAATATGTTTATATTAAAATAACTACTTGCTATCACAAGTAGTAGCCTGGCGTAAGACATTTCAGAAAAAATATTAATGAAAATACTTCGGCATAATTTGTCTAGAATTGACCTTGGATATATACTGATACCCTTTTAGGTTTAAACATAAATAATTTCCCATCCCTACAAAAATAATATAATAACCAAACATTCATCCTCATGTTTGCTTCCCCCTGGCTCCTCTGCAATTTGGAAATGCCTTCCTGAAACTTCCTAACCTTAATTTTACATTCAAATAATCGATGTATAAAAAGGCCATCTTTCTCAAACCATTTCAAAGACCACAATGCAATGAAGTTACAATGAATTTTCCTTCCTTGATTCCAAAAAAAAACTAATACAAATAAAAAATTGTGAAACCAAAGACTTCTTTGAACACAGGGAAACTGAACATAATTCTAAGACTGAAAACCATTTTTAATCAAAGGAGATGTGTACTAGGTAAAAAACTGCCATTTCATTTACTCCACCTACTTTAGGACCTTCTGAACTAAAAAAGTTTAGGTCAAAAACAACTTGATCATCTACTGGCTGTGACAACTATTTTATGTCACCTAGCTAAAGGATTATTAGCAGGGTTTATTTCCACTGAATCCTCTGGGGGCTACCAAGCCTGGTTCCATCCTCTATAGCTCAAGTGGAAAGACAATCTTGCTATTGTAAACAAGCAGCAAAAATATGTAGAATAGACAGAATATTTCCTCCCACCAACTTAAAATAAATAATTTGCAACATATTTCTTGATCTAAAGTTAACTGCACCAATCTGATAGCTAACCCATCTTTAATGTCACTAAAATTATGACATACTTACACAAAACCAGGACAATATAAGCATGCTTATTTATTAGTCAAATATAGAGTACTCTCCACACAAAAGTCTATAAACAAAGATAATAAAACTCACCTTCATTAGGAGATGTTTTCAACCTGGTGCAAATTCCATAGACATCTCCATAACTTTCCTGTATTTTTCGTAATGCATCTGTAGACCTGAGCTCCATGAGAGCTCGCAGTTCTGCGAGCGTAATTCCAAAGTCTCCATCATGATTAGCTTCCTTCAAAGAGTTTTTTACTCCACTATATGCAACTGAGTTGTTTGCCATGTCGGCCATTACAAGTAGAATTTATTAGGAGGAAAATGTTTCCCAAAAGACTCTAATTTTCACTTGATATATATCCAAGATGAAAATCTTTTAAATGTGAAAATCTTCCTTAAACCAAACATTCATTGTATGACTTTGTAAAAGCAGCATCAACAGCATTTCCCAGAGAAGTATCTTGACCTTTGGCCCATGACTAGTTTCTTCGTATCAATCATAAGATGTACACATCTGTAAGAAGAAAACATTTAAAAGTAGTTAAAATCCATCTTAAGAGTACTATGCATATAAAGCATATGTTCTAAATGTCATCAGGTAGCTAATCAAAGTACATCATTTAAATATAAAGATATTTTTTAACTGTAGTCTCATGACTTTAAGGTTTTGCAGGATAAAAGATGAAAGTATAACTTCTATACAATATTCTATTTCAATAGACATTAGATTTCACTCTTATTAAATAAAACTGCATTTCCCATCACTGAATTTTATGTTCCACTCAGTGTTACTGTTAATAGTTATCATTAAGCACTTACATTCCAAACACTATTGCTTTAAATTCATTCTCTCATTTATTCATCACAATTTAATCCCATGAGGTGTTATTACTTCTTGCTCTACTGAGAAGACTAAGCCTCAGAGAATTTGAGTTTTTGCACAGCTAACAAACGCCTGAAATGGACGGGATATCTCTAAGCTGCTGTTCTTTCTAATACCCAGACCCCTCTCTCCAAACCTTTCAACCGAAATAGTCCTTGAAAGGACAAAAAGCACAACACACAGTCGAATATGCTTTCCTGCCATTCTGTGACGCACCAACTTTTGGCTGCCTAAAACTGTCCTCCACATCATGATTTCTGTCTCATGTCACCACCTGAGGTCTTCGCTTGACCAGCTACTTGAAAATAAATTCTCTACCCTTCATTCTTTGTTCTTACTATTTTAATTTCTTTGCTGGCTCTTAGTATTACCTGAAATGATACTGTTCACTTGTTTGTTTCTTTTTTCATCTCCCTCCACACACAGTCTTAGTTCTGAAGGTGGCATGGGTTTCCATTACTGTATTCTGGGAACCTAGAACTGTGCCAGGCACACTGTAAGACATTCAGTAAGTATCCGAGGAATGAATGGATGCGTTACTTTTATTTTTTTCACAATACTTTCAAGTTTTCCTTTACACTGCCAAAAGATGCACGTTCAACTCTTCTCTTCACTTATGTCCTTTAAACAAGCAGCTCAAAGTTAACATGTATAACACTGGATTCATCTTATTCTGTATTAAGACAGCTCCCCTTCCCAGTCACAACTATCCTAATCACCTGGGCTTGAAATCGTCAATCACCTTTGATTCCAACCACTGCAGCTTCAGTCAGTTACTGAGTTTGCTTAATTCTTCCTTTGAAAAGCCTTTTCTATATAACCCTTTTTCTTCCTGATCTTTAAGTCTTCTTCTACAAATTATAATCACTACCCACCCCCACCCGGTCCTCTCTCATTTTATTATCTCCTATATCCAGAAGGTGCATTGTGCTGCTTAGTTTTTAAAAAGGCATCATGACACTGTATCTAAATCTACAGGATGAAAATACAGTCCTACTGCTTATGCTTATTTGGCATTCAAGCCTAAACTCTATTTTACCTGTTCAGTCTCTCTCCCTCCTGCAATACTGCATCTCCCCTGCATTTAATAAATAAAGTGTTTAATGACTAGGAACTAGTAAAGATTACTGGCAAGTGCAATTAATCTTCATCTATTGAATTGTTACACTACTTCAATATGCATCAAAAACACCTAGGGGGTTTGTTAAAATGCAGATTGCTAGGCCTCACCTCCAGAGTTTTTAGATTCAATAGGACTAAGGTGGGCACCATAATTTGCTTTTCTAACAAAGTCCCAGACATATTAGCACAGGGAAAAAACTGTGAGAACCACTAGACAGGAGAATAAGCTAAAAACTTTGAATTCATACCAGCTGGTTGAGGATGCCTGGTTGAAAATCTACTTGCCTTGGGTTCAATTGGCAAGGATGGAATACAGATTCTTTAAGACATTTTCTTTCATTGCCTATTTCCTTCCACTTCATAAATCCTCCTTGCTTACCCAGTTATTACCAATTTACTCATCTCCTAGGCAAAGTGAGTTCCCTCCTATTTGCACATCAATCATTATAACCCAACTTCAAACACTAGAGAGGTGCCTATCTGATAACATCCGAGTTTCCACACCCCAAATTTGTTGGCATCTGAATATCACAACAACCCTAAAATAAATTATTATTTAATAGATAAAATAATTAAGATTCCTACATCTTAGGAATTGTGTGTTAGGGGCATGTGTGTTGTCATTCCTCTGGTTTCCACAAAGGAGTTTTCCTCCACAACTTGAGGCCTCCTATCCCATGGTTACCACAGAGGTGAATAAGCTGCCTGACAGGAGATCTTCCAAGAGTGACTAGACATAGGTAGTTTCTTCACCTCTGCCTTCTTCTGAGTGCCAGATGTCTGCAGAACTAATACATTCTGATCTGGGTCATCAGGGGCAGAACCCCAGGTCAAAAAACCTACTATTCAGAGGCAGTAAAGAACTGTCTAGTTTTGGGTTCAACATTAGAATTTTATTGTTGTCAACAAAAAATAAGCCTTCCATTTCAGGTTTTGTTGATAATAAAATTAATGTTTTTTTTCTATGTGCCAATCTGTGTTTTCTTTTAACAGAATTCAGGCAGGAGAAAAGGGTATTATTTATTGGGTGCCCCTAAATTTCTCAACAATAAAGATACATAATAGTTCTAATACATATTAGAGATAGGATTTGACTCTATTTGTGACTCCAAAGTTATGTTCCTTCCACTATACTACCTCTACTCTGTCTTCACATTTATTGACTTGAAACAGAAACTTCCATAGGTCAAAAAACTGTCAAATAATACCAGATGTACCAATTTATATAGTAAAATTAGAATTCAAGAGGAATTATAGTGGATATTTGTTACTTGCCACCTCAGCATCCTTTTCTTCCACTTTTCGGCAATAGCCTCACTTTGTCTTTCGGGATCTGCCCTCCCCCAGATCTCAGTGTCCTCCACATGAGGGTCCATTCCCATACCCAGACATTCCCAGGGCCACAGTGATGACTGGTTCAGTAGTGTGCGTGTGACCCTAGAGCCAATAGGTGGCAATGAGGCTTCTGCTGTGACTGTGACTCGGGGGCAGAGACTTGTTTCTTCTTACTGAAGTTAAATTTGAGATGTGGAAGCCTCTGTGAACAGATCCAGGAGGGAAGGAAGGAATGTGCCTGTCAGTGGTATAGTATTACTAATCATGTCCAGTTGCCCCGCTGTTTAAAGGAAGAGGAGCCCAGGCAAAGCACCAAATGCAAATGAGCCACTTTCCACAAGCGAACTGTCTGAATTGCTGATGACTGACAAATTACCTGGTGGTTTGTTGCCCACTGCTAGGTCATCTATAGTCTCTTGTAGTATTTTCCTATCTACCTTCTCTTTACTCTTCATTCATCTCACTAGTGGAATGACAAGAATGCTAGGAACAGCACAGAAGCTCAGCTTTTCACTTGTTAGCTACATTTGACAACTGAGAGAGACATATTATTTTGGATTTAGGTACAACAGAAAGTAGAACATTTATTTTGCTTCTCTAAAGTATTTGATCTTCCATTCGAAAAGTTTAAGAAGAAATGTTGCTATGTGGAAGCTGAGGTCCCAAGAGGGGGATTTTAAAGAGAACAGAGATAATCTATGAAGGACTCTAGGCTGACATATCTTTTCCCAGAATTCCTAGATGATGTCTCTGATCAAACCACTGTTGGGTAGTCTTTGAGAGATCATGGAAAAAGAGGTAGTTCAAGACTAGGGTTAAGCAAAAATAGTAACAGTCTTCAAAACGAAGAATAAGGTGGATTCCAACTGACACATAAGCTTTACTGTGAATAGGCAGGGTCCCAAAAGAAGACAAAAGGATGACTGTGAGGTCCTAATGAGAGCTCATTGAGAAACAGCTTTGTTAATACAATTTCAGTTCTTTCTTTCACAAGGTCACTTGATTTGACGATCATGGAAAGGTTATATGGATGTACCCATACTCAATAATGATAACAAAAATCACATGACAGAAAAATTAAAAGATATACAGGGGAATATTAAATTAAGGAATGAAATATGAAGGTCTAAAAATGATTATTAATATTATATAGTAACATGAGATTCCTGCAGGCAAGCTATGGATAGAAGATATATGCTAATATAACTAAGTGTATTAGACCAGCAGAACAACCCGGAGGGTGTTTTTTAATGCATTATTAGGTCCCTAGTTCCTGACCATTCTAAATTTTTGTTAGTGATCTGAAAACACAGATGTTATGTTTCTCTCATCTGTAGATGACTTGAAGTTAGGTAAGTTAGATGACAGAATTGGGATCCAGAAACACAGGTGGGGACCAGAGGCAGTGCAAAAGTATGGCTCCTACATTTAATTCCAAAAACATAACTGTACAAGTATGACATATAAAAAAAATGCAACAGTATATATGGAAAGGTAAAGGTTCAGTTTATTCAAAGCTCAGTATGAGCTGACTTGATGTTAACTGACATGATGTAAATGCTTCCCCCTCCCACCTGCAAAGTGAGTATGCTCTTAGGCAGCAATGACAGGAGTCTACCATCTAACAGAGAGGTAACAGACCTATTCCCATTTGCTTTGGACAAACACACCTATTTCAGGCTCATCTATAAAACAGAGATAAAAGAATAGTGCATACCTCGTTAAATGTGTTAATATATGTAAAACTACTTGAACTCAGCAGAGCACACAACAAATGGTAAATACATGTTAGCTATTTTATTGTTACTTAAAAATATCTGCAGATACAGTATGCAGAGAATAATTCCCGACCCTCAAGATGAAGGGGACCATCAACCTATTTCAGTTAAGTGTTTAAAGAAATAAGATTTTGAAACCTAGAGGAAAAGTGAATTCCTGATGATAGTCCATAGAAATGAAGCTCTGCTATACAGATAAAGCATATGACTGAACACATAAAAAAGACTGATGAATGAAAGAGAGGCACCAAGTTTTTTCTTTATCTGTATTACAGATAACAGGTCTAAATTACCATGGAATACCTACTGTAAAGCAATTAAT